ATCTCGTTTCCTCAAGCGCCCCACTCGAAGGAGAGAGAGTTAGGAGGTATTTTACTTTCAGGAGGGGGGTTTGCACAAGACCTGCTGCCACGCGACAGGCAAGTAATTGTGAGAGCTTGGCGTACTCAACAGCCTTACTTCGCCTAAAAGAGCCCAGTGTAAAGTGCGAATCACCAAGGCGAACGTGGAATTCGGTAATGCTGGTGGTCTTGCCCCGAAAGGTTACATATTCCCGTCTCCCAATAATAACACTTACCCAAATCTTTAAGGTACTCCTAATTTTGACCGTGGAATTTGGCGCCTAGCTGCCTGTATTAATAGGGAATTCCATGTCGTGTCGGGGGAGGGGTGGGGTGGGGTATCGCAGGGAGATAAGTAAGTCAAACCCTAGCAACTGCAATCTTCAGACCATGGTTCCTTAGGAGAGAAAAAGTTGGTGGAGTCAGAGTAATAGGAATAGTTTATTCTGTATACAGAGGGACGGAGAATAAGCGGGAAGAAGTTTGACCTCGAAGCGCACGTCGTTCCGCTGCAGCGGTGTGGTCCGAAGTGCGGCTTAGTAGCAGGAATCCCAGCGGCCAGAGAGAGAGAGAGAGAAAGCGTTCATGCGGTGTGCAAGCCTGCTGTTCGTTGCTGGGCCAGGGACCAGCTTTGCAGCATCTGTGATTGGCTGTTCCCAACAATCGAGAACAGCAGTCGTGAGATTTTGGCGGAATTCACTTCGACGCGAGCTAGCCACGACAGAGGAACGTAAGCTATCCCTACCTCGAATTAACTTGGCACGCTCTCAATGCGATGGGTTTGGTTATGCAGGTGAAATAAACAATATTTTGGTATTTTGAGATCTCGCTTCGAGATCTTCGCCTCATTTGCTAAAACTTTACGCATAGTTCAGTACACCCTTATAAATGCATTCCTTTTGACGCTAACTGGCGTCAACACTTGTCCATGCATAAGTCTCTGGTCGCTTTTCATGCTGCTTGAAATTCCATTTGTTTTCCTTTTGCGGCTCTCTATTGCTTTCGATTTTCGGAAAGATATCTGACGTTATTTTTCCTGTTCTCGAACACGAAGGTTATTCAGTAGGTTCTATTCATCTTCATGTGTTCTATACTTTCTGTCCTCCTTTAATCACAGGCGCTGTATGAAGGCATGCTGGTTGAGGTTCGGTTTGCCCACTTCTTCCTGGCCAAGTTAGTGAGCAGAACAGGTGGCAGCTTGGGTTTCGATTATCTGCACTCATTGGACCGTGAATTATACAGGTTTGCTACACTTTCTCCTTCTACCACTGACCTCACGAACTTGTTTGCTGTACCTTAATCTCCACCCATTCTCTCTTTCCTTCTGCTCACCCCCTGTTCTTTCCTGGTTTTGCAGACAACTTTGCAACTTGAAGAAATATCGCGGCAATGTGCGTGACTTAGAATTGGACTTTACAATAGTTCAGGACAACTTTGGCGAGTCAAAGGTGATCGAGTTGAAACCAGGTGGCAGTTCAATTCCCGTCACGGAAGCAACTCGGGTTGAATACATTCACCTGGTTGCCAACTACAAACTCAATCGTCAGGTTAGCTGACCTTCCTGACACATATCTCTCTCTCATTTTCCTTTTCTGTGAGGATTTTGATGTTGCTGGCTTTCTTTGCCGTTTAGATCTACCCTCAGTCGCGGGCGTTCATTGCCGGAGTGACAGATGTTGTCTACCTGGAGTGGCTACGTCTGTTTGATGCTGAGGAACTGCAGGTCTTGATTTCAGGCGCCGACACAGATATCAGTGTTGAGGACCTCCGAGAGCACACCGTCTACGTCGGAAGTGAGTGTCCATGTACAGAGTCTGTGAAGTGCCAAATTCTGTTTTAATTTAGACATCATTTCATCCTTTGGTTAAGCATGAATGTTCCTCTGGCGGATGCCCCTCACACAAAATAGAACACCTACAGCAATTTTTGTGGGCTCTGCATCCGGATAAATACGTCTAGATTCGTAGATAGTACTACCGGCAAAGACAAGGAAGCCTGGAATGGCCATTTCTGGTTTATTAGCCGTCGTCAGTCAGCCATGCCCTGATCCACCTGGTGTCCCACCCGAGCCCCGAACTCGTGACCTTTTTGATCAGAGTCAAAGGCCCTAACCATTGAGCCACGAGCTCGTTGTCTCGCCGGTTAAGCTCAGGGGATATTGACACTCACTGATGAACGTTTACCTGGCCGCTAACGGAACTCATTTGTCCCGCTCTGCCTGGGGTCTCAACAGAGGCCCTGACAACCGTAACAACTGGTAGTAGGTAGATAGTGTGCCGGCCATTCCAGTCTCCCTTGTTTTTTACGGCAATAATATCTGCTGTTACGGCTGTCGGAGCCTCTGTGGAGACGCAAGGCAGAGCGAAACGAGTGTCCAGATTCGGGTTTGATACATATGAGTCTGCCTTTACTAATTCTCGGGAAATCTGAAGCAGGTACACGAGCATTTGAAATCTTTCTTTTTGCTGCCGTTTGCGCATGTACTGCACGTATTGCTTCCCTCATTCAGGTCTGATTGACGACTGCTTTTTCCACGTCCCTTTCAGTATTCTCCGTCGCATTCGATAAATCGTGAGCCCATGACTCATCTGGTAGAGTTCTGCAGGCTCGAGTTCACCTAGCAGGTCTGTTATTGGTTATGGCTGCCGAAGAATGTCAAACAAGCCATAACTGACCGTTGTAGTCGTATTTGTAGTGGAAGCATAATACCTAACCCACTAAGAAAACCGGTTAGGTATATTAGTGTAACATGAGAAGCTTGGTACTCAGGGTTTAACCGGTGGGGTAGAGCGTAAAGAAGCCTGAGAAAAGGACTTAAAAAGGAGTATGCAGTCCTTGACAGCATGTTTTTTTAAGTCAATAAATAATTCATTGGCGGCGCGGTGCCGCGCCGTTCAAAACGCTGTGATTAGAAGCCAGTGGGAAAGGCTGAAGGAAAACATACATTTGGCTGACGCAAAAAGGAATTCAGCCTGAACCAAATGTTGGTAAACCAGTGTGAATGGATAAGGTAAAGACCACAATCAAAAGTTGTTTAAATAAACTCAACGGAGCAGTATATCCCTGAATTTAGATCTGCCGCCGCCGCCACCTTCCAACGCAAGTCTATACCTCCAGATCTAATCCTCCAACCCCCAATTCACAAACGATGTCCCTATATCCAGCCTCTCTCTCCTTCCCCAACCTAAAGCATTTTTTTTCTAAATCTTAACCCTCAATCCAGAAGTGTTTTTCTTAATCCAATCCCGCTTTCTAGTGCCCGCTTCGATTGCAGGTGACACTTTTACCGTTTACCAAAACTGTCCGTGAAGGGGTGCCATGGATGGACGCCAGTCCTAAAGCCACTCTGCAGAGTGCACGTACAACGGAACTTCTCCGAAAGTAATCAAAAAAAGGAAGGGGGACGGTACGAAGTCGCTCAACGGAATTTAGGCACAACGGACAAGGCATAGAACAGTTTACAAACCCCCTCTCTAAGGATGAGCCCGCAGATTAGCGCTTAACCGGGGCTAGCGGACGGGTGATAACCGGCCCACAGATGACCGATGGCTGCAACTCTCACTGTGTGCATAACCCCAATTCGTCCGTAGTCCTTGAAAGCCAATAGCCATAACACTCATGTCGGCACATGCACCCGGAAAGCCTTTGGAGCGGGGGGGCATTTCCGCATCAAACAAGCGTGTAAACTGGTAGGAAAACCTCGTTTGCGCGGGCATCCCCGTGGAAGCACGCGGATGCCGAGCAGGGAAGATCATTCTTAAGCTAATTATGCGGGAAAAGGTCTCCCGACCTAACGTGTCCGGTTTCTGTCTGCGGCCAAAGTGGCTGTTTCATGGAAATCCTATTTTTGTGTGATCGACAGAACGCCTACAGCAGTAATGTCAAGAATAACTGACGCACTGGCTTCCACTGTGTTTATTGTTTATCGATAATACTTTTATGTTTTGTCTCTCTAGGCCTTGAAAACCCAGGCTACCAGAAGACCGTGGATGATTTTTGGTCCCTCTTGGAAACCTTCACTGAGTCTGAGAAAAGGGACTTGCTGCGCTTTGCTACGGCCTGTTCTCGACCGCCCATGTTCGGTTTTCGCGATCTGCAGCCACCCTTCTCCATTCAGATTGTGCCTGATATCACGCGTCTGCCCACCTCCAGCACGTGCATGAACCTCCTCAAGCTGCCTGCCTACGCGGACAAGGCGGTCCTACGGGAGCGCCTTCTCTACGCCCTCAACTCTCATGCGGGCTTTGAGTACAGTTGAGCTAGTGCTCTCCTCATCCTCCCCTCGCCTTCCTCCCTATCCACCACTTGCTCTCCTACGTCTTTCGGTGCACAAAAATGTATCATTTCATTGATGTGCTACTTAAATGAGTAGCTGTTGCATTATGGTTAAAAAAGCAAAAAGATGTCTTGGTGAAAACGCACACACACACACACACCAACTTCCTGTGCATAACCTTGGTTTTACTCTTTTCGCCTCATTCATGCACTTTAAAATTGCAGCTCAGGAATCCCGCTGCACATTACCCCCTCTT